ACAAAAGTGTATTGATTCTTATTAAATGAAATTTATATGGCCGCCCATGGCATTGAAGGTGACCCTGGGCAGTCCAATAAAAAAAAAGAAATCCAACAAAAAAGTGCTTATACAATGTTAAAGTTAAATATTAAAATCACAAGTCTTGAGGGACTTACTGAATATCAATAGGGGTGGAATCAACCTAACCTAGGGAGGAGGGTAGTAAAATGTCCCACAAGATGAGTGCCACTAAGATTGCTTGCCTCCACCAAATTTAAGTCCCTGGCAAATGGTAATTATTTTCTTTATCAGATCTAAAGGGACAGTCTGATGTAATTGGGAAAGGCGGTCTTCTCGATAAATTTTGCTCATGCATGTAGACAGAACCTTTGGCAACTGCAATTCCCAATGTATTAAAGCATATTCATTTTAAGAATATTACTAATGATTCAAGATTATTGTATTGCTTTAGGGAGGTCTTAAGAAAAGGCATTGAACTGTTTTACATTCTGTACGGGTGAAACTCAAAACATTAGAATATCGTGCAAAAGTTCATTTATTTCAGTAATGCAACTTAAAAGGTGAAATTAATATATGAGATAGACTCATTACATGCAAAGCAAGGTAGTTCAAGCTGTGATTTGTCATAATTGAGATGATAATGGTTTACAGCTCATGAAAACCCCAAATCCACAATCTCAGAAAATTAGAATATTGTGAAAAAGTTCAATATTCTAGGCTCAAAGTGTCCCACTCTAATCAGCTAATTAAGTCATAACACCTGCGAAGGGTTCCTGAGCCTTTAAATGGTCTCTCCGTCTGGTTCAGTAGGAAGCACAATCATGGGAAAGACTGCTGATCTGACAGTTGTGCAGAAAACCATCATTGACACCCTCCATAAGGAGGGAAAGCCTCAAAAGGTAATTGCAAAAGAAGTTGGATGTTCCCAAAGTGCTGTATCAAAGCACATTAATAGAAAGTTATGTGGAAGGGAAAAATGTGTAAGAAAAAGGTGCACAAGCAGCAGGGATGACCGCAGCCTGGAGAGGATTGTCAGGAAAAGGCCATTCAAAAGTGTTGGGGACTTTCACAAGGAGCGGTCTGAGGCTGGAGTCAGTGCACCAAGAGCCACCACACACAGACGGATCCTGGACATGGGCTTCAAATATCGTATTCCTCTTGTCAAGCTGCTCTTGAACAACAAACAACATCAGAAGAGTCTTACCTGGGCTAAAGAAAAACAGAACTGGTCTGTTGCTCAGTGGTCCAAAATCCTCTTTTCTGATGAGAGCAATTTTTGCATCTCATTTGGAAACCAAGGACCCAGAGTCTGGAGGAAGAATGGAGAGGCACACACTGCAAGATGCTTGAAGTCCAGTGTGAAATTTCCACAGTCTGTGTTGATTTGGGGAGCCATGTCATCTGCTGGTGTTGGTCCACCCTGCTTCATTAAGTCCAGGGTTAACACAGCTGTCTACCAGGAGATTTTGGAGCACTTCATGCTTCCTTCCACAGACGAGCTTTATGGGGATGCTGACTTCATTTCCCAGCAGGACTTGGCACCTGCCCACACTGCCAAAAGCACCAAAACCTGGTTCAATGACTGTGGGATTACTGTGCTTGATTGGCCAGCAAACTCGCCTGACCTGAACCCCATTGAGAATCTATGGGGCTTTGCCAAGAGAAAGATGAGAGACATGAGACCGAACAATGCAGAAGAGCTGAAGGCCGCTATTGAAGCATCCTGGTCTTCCATAATACCTCAGCTGTGCCACAGGTTGATAGCTTCCATGCCACGCCGCATTGAGGCAGTAATTGCTGCAAAAGGGACCCAAACCAAGTACTGAGTACATATGCATGCTTATACTTTTCAGAGGTCCCATATTGTTCTATGTACAATCCTTGTTTTATTGATTGCATGTAATATTCTAATTTTCTGAGATTGTGGATTTGGGGTTTTCATGAGCTGTAAACCATAATCATCTCAATTATGACAAATCATGGCTTGAACTATCTTGCTTTGTTTTTTTTCTTCATCCTGATTGGTTGAGAGTCTTGGTCTGTGTTTATTGGTCTTGGAGTTTGCTGTGTTCTGCTTGATTGGTGTTTCTAATATCTTCTGTCTGTTTTTTTTGGCTCTTTTTGTATCTTGATTGGCTGGCAACATTGTGTTACTTTATTGGAGGCCTTTAGTGCAGCTTGGCTCCGGGTAAATGGACGGCTATCATTAGTTAGGAAGCTAGGTTTCATTCATGTAAGTACCCGCGAAAACTTAAGAAAACAAATATATATATATAAAATCAAACTGTCCACTTAGGTAGCAACACTGATTGACAATCAATTTCACATGCTGTTGTGCAAATGGAATAGGCAACAGGTGGAAAGCATAGGCAGTTAGCAAGACATCCCCAATAAAGGAGTGGTTCTGCAGGTGGTGACCACAGACCACTTCTTAGTTCCTGTGCTTTCTGGCTGATGGTTTGGTTACTTTTGAATGCTGGCGGTGCTTTCACTCTAGTGGTAGCATGAGATGGAGTTTACAACCCACACAAGTGGCTCAGGTAGTGCAGCTCATCCAGGATGGCACATCAATGCGAGCTGTGGCAAGAAGGTTTGCTGTGTCTGTCAGCGTAGTGTCCAGAGCATGGAGGCGCTACCAGGAGACAGGCCAGTACATCAGGAGACGTGGAGGAGGCTGTAGGAGAACAACAACCCAGCATCAGAACTGCTACCTCTGCCTTTGTGCAAGGAGGGACAGGAGGAGCACTGCCAGAGCCCTGCAAAATGACCTCCAGCGGGCCACAAATGTGCATGTGGCTGTTCAAACGGTCAGAAACAGACTCCATGAGAGTGGTATGAGGGCCCGACGTCCACAGGTGGGGGTTGTGCTTACAGCCCAACACCGTGCAGGATGTTTGGCATTTGCCAGAGAACACCAAGATTGGCAAATTCGCCACTGGCGCCTTGTGCTCTTCACAGATGAAAGCAGGTTCACACTGAGCACATGTGACAGACGTGACAGGGTCTGGAGGCGCCGTGGAGAACGTTCTGCTGCCTGCAACATCCTCCAACATGACCGGTTTGGCAGTGGGTCAGTAATGGTGTGGGGTGGCATTCCTTTAGGGGGCCGCACAGGCCCCCATGTGCCTGCCGGAGGTAGCCTGACTGCCATTAGGTACTGAGATGAGATCCTCAGACCCCTTGTGAGACCATATGCTGCTGCGATTGGCCCTGGGTTCCGCCTAATGCAAGACAATGCTAGACCTCATGTGGCTGAAGTGTGTCAGCAGCTCCTGCAAGGCAGATGCTGTGGACTAGCCCACCCGTTCCCCAGACCTGAATCCTGAGCACATCTGGGACATCATGTCTTGCTCCATCCACCAACGCCACGTTGCACCATACTGTCCAGGAGTTGGGGGATGCTTTAGTCCAGGTGTGGGAGGAAATTCCTCAGGAGACCATCTGCCACTTCATCAGGAGCATGTCCAGGCATTATAGGGAGGTCATACAGGCACATGGAGGCCACACACACTACTGAGCCTCATTTTGACTTGTTTTAAGGACATGACATCAAAGTTGGATCAGCCTGTAGTTTTTTTTCTTTAATTTTGAATGTAACTCCAAATCCAGACCTCCATGGGTTGTTAAATTTAATTTCCATTGATAATTTTTGTGCGATTTAGCACATTCAACTATGTAATGAAATAAGTATTTCATAAGAATATTTTTCATTCAGATCTAGGATGTATTTTGTGTTCCCTTTATTTTTTTGAGCAGTGTATATGAATATATATGTGTATGAAAAATTTTTGTATAAAATATTGTGCATGCAGGAGCTTGGGGAATCCCCGAAGCAGCTATCCTTTAGAATGGTGGACATGGCAATGTTTCATTCACAATAAACTGACCATCTTTTGACTAGCTCCAACTTCATGTTACCTTTCTTTATGCTATTGTTACTGCACGTATCACAAGCTTGATTTTATACAAACGATCAGTTTCGCATTATTTTGCAACTGAATACTATTTCCCTCTTTATTCTTTGGCACCCCGCCCAACACTTTTACAGCAGTGTCACCCTTATTTCACTTACTTTCCATAGTATTTAAGATATTGAGGACCTACTCTCCAGTGCCAAAAATGTTTTTCAAGCCTGTTTTCTGTACAAAAATCTCTTTAATCAACAAGATTTTTTTTTATGGAATTGAATCTCCTATACCGAATTCATGCCAAGAAATAAATACAAAAGATGCAAAAACACAAATTGTGGTTTGCACCACTTCCAGATTTTTAATTTTAAATAAAACATTAACAAAATATGGAGCAGTTCTAATTCAAGTTACTCCAGTTCAGCACAAAAATTGCTACTTTGGCTGAGCAACTGAGAATCGCTCATCAGTGATTATCATGGGACTTCTTTATAGCTCATTCCATTTGAAATATTCTTAAACATTGTATTCAACTGTGACCTCTGAAAATTAAGTTTGCTTGTAAGCAAACCATGGCAGGTTACGAGTATTTTGTAAAAATAAAACTTTAGGTTAGGTCAGCATGTAAACAGCTGGAATAAGCAGCCTGAGGTCACTGTGAGTTAGGCAGCCATATACATTTTCTTAAATCTGAATTTGCTTGTGGGAAGCCAACAGGAAAGGTCACAAATAGTGACAGTATCATTTCACAACCATCAAAAAGCAAGCCAGTTACTAAGAGCTCAAAGCTCAAATCATGTGACCACAGGGACACACTGCAATGGCCAGAGTTCAAGGACCAGCCTTTCAATATTATTCATTCACGCTGTTGCAGCTTCAGTCACTACAAGTGCTTGGTAAGCTAACTGTATTTCAAAAAACTTTTGACTTAAGGCAATTGTAGATTGCCATGTGACTATATAGTTGTATCTGATAATTTTTATACTTCATTGTACCATGTGTTTTTCTTCATTGTTCATCACTCAGTCTTTGTAGGTTTGTCATAAATTTATATAAATAATTGAATCATAAACCAGCAAAATACAAATATATTGTCAGCTCAAATGTATTTTATTTGTTCATTTCTTGCACTTGAAGTATTCTTCAATGACATCTTTGGCCTGAGATTCTTTGCCATAGTCCTACAACAAAACAATATATTACTATTCCACTAAATTATTGATTTAAACAATTTAATCAGTGTCCAGACTAGTAAATATTTACTGTTCTATTATAATTGCAGAATCAAGAAAAAAGGCAATTTAGATTAACAGTTGTTAACCATATCCTTTAGTTGAAAGAAAAATCCTTCCATAGAATATCAATGTGGCCTTTATTGGGACCTCAATGACTACAAAGTCTTCAAGGCTCGTACTCGGGCATTATTATTGCCAGCAATGATCTTCTGCAGAACATTTGTAGGTTAAGCAGATTTTGTCTTACTGGCAGCTCCTTGCTGTACTAAACAACTGTAGTAATTTAGAAGACTGCAATGGCAATAGAACATTACAAAAGAAGCTATCCCTTATCTCTCCGCCACACTTATTGTCTTGTCTATACAAACTAACATCCCACCCCCCCAAAAAGGGTTTTTCCAACTTTTTCTATTTATGAGCAATGGAGCAACTTCTATATGGTAGGAATAAAATCCTCAACTTACAACTGTAATTGAGTTAGGAATTAGTCTTAAGACCCAGTGGCCATTAATTGGGCCATCGTGTGACTGTGTCCAATCTTACATTTTTTTTTTTGCTCATGGCTGTTAAATGAACCTGTTCTTCAATGGGTGCTATTTTGCCAGAAACTAGCAAAAAATTACAGTGTTATGATTGCAGGATGCTGCAAAACAGCTTTAAATGTAAGCTGAGCTGGCTGTCACATGTCCAAAATGCAATCACATGATTGGTGGGTGTAACTGATTGCTAGAACTCTGGAACAGAGTCTTAGGTAGGTTTTGGGAGGTCCATAACTTTGAACAGTCACTAAGTAACCAGTCATTAAGCTACCTGTACTTTAAATGCAATGCTCAAAGATATGTAGCATTTGCAGTTTTAAGGACCCTGTACAAGTATACAATTGAATAAATACGAATAATCTAAAATAAAAAAGAACATGTCATCTTACTTTAACAACCACACAACTGCAACCCACAACTTTACGAGGTTTTCCTTCTCTGTCGATCTTGCAGAGACCTACCCACTCACCAAGCTTCTTGTTATCATCAACCTGTCAAGAGAGATTTTCATTTTGTTAGAAGTGCTAACAATACAAGGCAATAAAAGACAGAATCAAAGGTAGCTGTACACTCAGACCAACAGGGTAACAATTTGTGGTTGTTTTCCTCACAATTCTCAGTAGAGGGAGCCAAGTTATCATCACTGTACAGCATCACTAACTTTTTTTAACCAACACATCTGAACAGTTGCGTGATTTTACTGTAAGCTATTTGATTATCTCACATTACCAATTCTATGTAAACTAGCTATTACCTTTATCAGGTTGATTTGATGTTCAGCACAGAGAGCTTCAACCAGCTTTACATACATAGGTTCATCACAATTGGATGCAAGAACGCAAAGATGGGCTTGACGTCTAAAATGGAAAAATTATCAAATAAAATTGGTAAGATAATGTATATGTTTCTTTAACATAGTTCTTTGGATTAATTTATTTGTAAGGTGTGACATAGAAAGACAGAGGGGATTACACTCACAAAGCCCAATTCATAATTTTCAATCATTTCCTAGTTTTGCTTTACCTACAGATTTTGGGAAGGCGATATAGAAAGATGAACAATAGGGTACAGCTAAAATGTTTCTATGAAGCTAAATACATGAATTCATAGAGAAATTTTTAATACTAGTCACTAACTAGAAATATCTTAATGAAAGGAAGTCTTCATACAATTCTAAAATCAAAATCAGTTATCATAGAACTGTTACAATTTAAGTCATTAAAAAAATCGTTTACTACTTAGAAGTGGGTAAACCTAGCATAACCAACCATTTAGTCATTCAAAGTTTATGCTATTGTTCCTGGCTTGTTTACTCACAAAGTAAACTCTTCGACAGGTTTGTCAGACTATCATTGTCACTCATAAAAAGAGTGAAGGGGTATCCGACTTTCATAGTCATCATTCAAACACTTTAGTTATCTTTGAATCTAATATACGATTTGCTGCTCACCTAGACACTTTCTAAAAATGTTAGAATGACATTACATCATCTTTGCCCTCTGGCTGAAATCTTAAATGCATTCCACTATTAAACTATACCAGGTCAACCTACCTGGCTATTTTCCCATATTCCCAACCCCTTGCTTCCCTCCCTTACATTTAATTAATTTTATCTTTCTGCTATCACTTTCCACATATCCATCCAATGGACCTACTTTACCTCACCATCACCATACTACTGGCCCTCCTTTCCCCTTTATCGCTCTCTGGATCAAGTCTGCTGGCACACATATGCTGTCTCTGTCCAGAGACCAAACATATGCTCTAGTTTAGTGCACATATTTGAAGCATTTGTGTTTTAATCCATGCACAGACAACTCGAAGTGACTGATTTAAACATCCAATGGCCGGCAGATCCTTAAAATATAGGATGTTGCATGGTCCCAGCAAAATGTATTTTGTGTCAGGGAAGATGCTGATGGAGTTGCATTGCTTCTTGTTACTGAACAAAGTATTTTCCAGAAAAGCAACTACAAAGCCCTGGAAAAGATACAGCTTCTCCAAAACATACCACACCCTCTTCAAGCACCCTCCAAGTTGGGCTCAAACTGCTACACATTTTTAGAATCTGGTGTGTATAGAAGAATACAGGTAGTCCTCAACTTGCAACAGTTCATTTAGTGACCAAGTTCCAATGGAATTGAAAAGTGCCTTATGACCATTGCAGCATCCCCATGATCACATGATCAAAATTCAGACATTTGGGAACTGACTCCTACTTACAGATGCTTGCTATGTCCCGTGGTCACATGATCACCTTCTGTGACCTGCTGACAAGCAAAATCAATGGGGAATCCAGATTCACTTAACAACCATGTCGCTAACTTAAGGTCAGTGATTCACCTAACTGTGTGGCAAGAAAGGTTATAAATTGGGACAAAACTCACTTCAAATTTTTTCATTTAACAGAATTGTTGGGCTCAATTGAGGTTTTAAGCCGAGGACTACCTGTATTGTTGGAGGAAACAGTAACAGCAGCATGTTTTATTCCCTTTTCCAATATAACTGCCAAAGATCCCTAAATTTCATTCTGGAGCATCTTTCAGGGTGTTTTGAAAGACATAAACTCTAATGAAAACATAGCAAATAAAAGGTAAGGCCTTCACCCAATTTGTCTCATACCAGGAACGCAAGACTGAACCCAAATGAAACTGAATTAAACATGGAATTGATCTATCATAACATACTTCACACTAATCTTTAACAAAATATTTGAGTCAATGTCAGCAATTATCTTGCAGTGTGAGGAGGGAAATTTGCAATTTAAGTCCCACACTTGATTTCACCTCACATTGATAACAGAACTACTGGCAGAATAGACTTTAACATTTAGAATATGTATGTTCTTAAATACATATTTAAGGACAAGTAGTATGCAAACATGAATCACATACAAAATCAAAGCAATAGGCTGTACAATCCCACTTTGATTTGGAGAAAATCTAAATCACTTACTTGTCCAAGGCTTTGGCAGCTTCACGAATTCCACGAGCTAATCCATCGTGGATAAGTGCAGTTTTCAGCACTTCTTGAAGGGCGGTGTTGACATCCATTATGCCTCCAGCAGTAATGCTATAAAACAAAAGTATGAAAATAAGCAAGCTAACGCATATAACATAATTCCTTATTTTTGATTGTAATTCTAATGGTAACCTGAAACACAAGGATGCAAAAGGTCTGAACAATGAAAAAGATGTACAAGTTCAAAACAGATATGAATTATGAGTACTAAGGAAAATTAAGAGCCCTTAACAAGTTAGAAATTAGGGGGAAAATAACCATTTCATACTTTGAGAAACATTGATTACAATGATTTAGACAAGCACCTGGACATAAAACACGTCTATGCCACTTCTATCAGAACATAAAACCAAGTCTATAAAATATGCATTTTAACAAGTACCTAGTGAATATATATAAAAAACCATCATCTGACATAGAGGGTGAGAAAATAAAAGGCACAAATGTTTTTTAAAAAAATCTTTTGTGCCTTTTTATTCCTGAGAGCCAGTTTGGTACAACAGTTAAGGTACAAGCCTAAAAAAGACTGCAATGTAATTCTGCCTTAGGTATGAACAACCTGTTAGATGACTTGGGGCAGAACAACTGTTCTTAGCCCAACTCAATAGGGTTGTTGTGGGGAAAATGGAGCATTGGTATATTAATCACTCTGAGCTGTATATATGAAAAAAGGGCAGGATAAAATTCTATTAAAAAAGCAGACTGGCATTTCAAAGTAGAAGAAATTGGTTATAATTATTTGAAACTCCAACATTATGCTATTTTTTTCCTCTCACAGCTGCTCTGAGTTTGGCTGTGGCTATTTCCTGTTACATTATAGCCTTTACTCCATTGTAATCCATACAAATTACACTGAAAAACTTTCCTAAACCCTTATTCCATCTCAAATGATGCCAGAACTTTATTATATCACTCCCTTCTATTAACACACTGGTGGCACACATTAATTCTGAGAGTGTGTGTGTATATATCTATAGATGTGTGTGTATGTGTCTATCTATCTATCTGTAGATTTTCACAGGTACAGGTATGTAGGTCTAGGTGTGTTTGGGTCTTCGCCGAAAGGTCACCAAGATACTCTTAATCTTACATGGGAAAAGACCCAAACACACCTACACATACATACATATATACACACATACACATAAGACCTGGTTCTGCAAGTGGGCCTGGGGGTGTAATCTGCTGTCATGGGGGATGGGGGGGTTTCTAGATTTTGTTCTATTGTACTTTATTAGTTTGATTCTTTTTATTAGTTTTTATTTTTGATTTTAAATATGGTTACATTCTGTAAGCCACCTCAAGTCACCATGGCAAATAGGCAGCAACATAAATTAATATATGTGTGTGTGTAATTCAGATTTGTTCTGGTATTTTCCCACGTCTTTATAGTTTATATACCCGAACAAAGCTAAATACCATACATATAAATACCCGCGAAAACATATATGTGTATATATGTATACAAACACACACCCCACACACAAACATATTGCGCGATTACAGGAGCAAAAATGCTCCTGGCAGTAATCAGAGTGCGCTGGGGGGGGAAAACCCTGGGCCCCACCACGTGGAGCAAGCCAGCCGACAGGAGGCAGCGCTCTGTGCACGGAACCAAGGCTGGAGGGCCGAGGGCACAAGGCGAGCCCAGGAAGCACGCGCCGGCCCTCCAGTGGCCTCGTGGACACACCATTCCAAGTATCTCCGCCTCGCGCACCACTTACCCTTCCTCGGTCATGGTTGGTGGTAAATGCTCCCACCCGGAGTTCCTGAAAACAAGACAAATCCCCGTTAAACCTTCGAAGACGAAACCACCACCCCGGTTTTTCCTCCCCCACCCCGTCCCGAAGAGAGAAAAGAAATGCATAACCTTTAAAAAAATAAAAATAAAAATAAAACTGAACTCCTGGCCTACCAAAACGTGCGCTTACCTTACCAATTCCACGAGTCGCGCGTTGAAAAGGAAGAGGTGGAGCCTCCGGGCTCTTATTTTACCCCCGCAAGGACCCCAGCCTCGCTCCTGAAAATAGGTGTCTGACTCAATTGCCTGTTTGAATAGGACCGAGGGAAGGGAAACTGGTAGGAATTTCAAAGGTTAAAAACAGAACCAGGCGCCATCCTATATCGAACTCGAACGTCGCGTGTATTCGGGGCGGAGGGAATCTTTGAAGCACTGAGGCCGGCAAGGGTCTTCAAACTTGGCAAGTTTAACACTTGTGGACTTCAACTCCCAGAATTCCTGAGCTAACATGACTGGAAGAGGAGTTCTGGGAGTTGAAGTCCACAAGTCTTAAAGCTTTCAAGTTTGAAGACCCCTGACTGAGAGCTTTGCCAATAGGTGTCCATGCTAACTGCCGGAAGTATATTCCTCGGCTACTACAAGCACCCGAAAGGCACGAGGGAGGCTTGTTTTCAGGAGTTTTGATTGGACAATAGAAGCGATTGCTGAGTATAAAGATATTGGCTATTTGTGTAATGTATAAATTATTAAGGACAAGGTACATTTCTGTTACTTTAGTGTTTTACCAAATGCACCTGATTGGTTTTTTAAAACTTGCCTTATAAAAGATCGCCGTAAAAACAGATGCACGCAACTGAATTGCGTTTCTCACGCGTTCATCTTCACCCCCTTTCGCCTAATACGGGGACTAGTAAATAGGTGCATGGTGCTTGGAGGTAAATAAAACCCAAGTCGTCACGCAGGTCAACATCAAACAGCTGTCAAATATTATTTTAGTGTAATTATAATTCTATTTTTTTTAAAAGGCATTCGACATTGCTCGGTAATAGATAATTTTGTTGATTGCTCAAACCTACCATTCCTAATTCTAAACCAGTTTTTAAAATTAGTAAGTACTCCTTGAGTTACTGTGTGTTGAGTTACTTGAGTTCTGTGCTGAGTGCGGCACAGAACACACTCTTCTAACAAAATTTTAGAGTAAATTGAAGCAAAGTGTTTGGTATATGTTCCTCGTTCACAAAATGTTGTTGGAACTCCATACGATGTCCTGGATTTAAAATCTTAGGTTTTTCTCCCTGATTCTTCCACCTTTCCTCCCCAATTAAAATACCTCCCAAGTGGAAGACAGAATGTTTTTTTGATACCTAACACTAGGAGGCGCTCTTTGCATGGCAACAACGCGAACCAGTTTTTTTAAAAAAATTACTTTGTCAGTACAACATGTGTACAATGAGATTGGCTGAGCCTCCCTTCGTGCACCCCTCCCAACACAAGTCACAGTGAGGATAGAAGTCCCTAACCCAATTCCAATCTTATTACCGTACGTCAGGGGTCCCCAACCACCGGTCTGCGGACCGGTACCGGTCCGTGGAACAAGTCCTACCGGGCCGCTGGCTTGCTGGGCGCCGCCATCTTTTTTTGATGAAAAAGTGCTTCCGGTGAGCTTTTCCGGGTAGAAAGCTCACCGGAAGCACTTTTTCCATCAAAAAAAGATGGCGGCGCCCAGCTAATGCCGGTACCGGGCCGCACCATAAAAAAGGTTGGGGATACCGGGCCGCGGCGTAAAAAAGGTTGGGGATCACTGCCCTACGTGACCTTGTTGCACAACGCACCGGGCCCACAAGTCTGTCGTACTATGTTGACATGAAGTTATTTTCCATTCAGAAGTATGACAGCCCACAGATAGAAACTGTTTTTCAGCCTGCTGGTGCAGCTGTCTATGCTTCTATATCTCCTATCCGAAGGTAGGAGAGTGAAGAAGTGCTGACCGGGATGTGAGTTGTCCCTGATAATTTTCCTCACTCTTCTAAGGCAGTGAGCCCTAGCGATGTCATCTAGTGGTATCAGGGAACAGCCCACGATGTTTTGTGCTAAACCAGTTGCAGCAAATTGTGAAACTGTGTGATGTCATGTTTCCTTTTGCTAGGAAGTTTGGTTGGATTGCACAAATGAATTTGTAAAACATAAACATGTAAGGTTCCAATAAAAGGCTCTCTTATGAGGAAATAATACTTTGAACTCCATGGAAAACTCATTTCAGTGGACAGTGATGGCTTCAGTAAATATGCTAATAGAAGTAGTAGAGCACTATGCATCCTATTTCAAAAGTTGCCCTACCAAAGCATTTTTTAACTTGTTAGTTTCTAAGGCTATTCCTGTGCAAATCCATTTGGGTAAAATTTATATAGATTTAAAGAAAACTGTAGATATACTCCTATAGCGACTGTGTAAATTAGCACTGTGGACTTTTCATTACGTTTAGTAGAATTTGCATAAAATATTGGCTAAGAAAAATGCATTTGGTTTACTTCTGAGCATCACACAGGATCACACAACAAATCTGCATGGCAGTTTTGGAAAAAGCTCAAATGTGTAACATCTTAAAAAGTAAAGGAGTCAAAATTTTAGCATCACTTCTGAAGCTGAGGGCATTTTTACTTATGTTGATTGCCTGAATTTCAAAATAATTCATAAATTTCTTTATCTAGAGCACGGATGTCAAACTCATGATGACACGTTGTCACATGACGTATCGCAACTTTTTTTCCCCTTTGCTAAACCGGGGGTAGATGTGGCCAGAGCATGATGTATCCGGCCCGCGGGCCATGAGTTTGACACCCCTGATCTAGAGGTGCTCATTTAAGAAGACTGACAGACTTTAAAAGTAGAGAGATAAATATTCACAAGTTAAAGATACAATTGTTCTAAATATTTTAATGTTTTCTCCAACTTTAGCTTCAGTTTTGCAGAATGCAGTGAAGGTAGACAAAGGTGGGTTGGATACCACATGGAGAGAAATTTTGTTTGGGTGTAACTTTGGTTAATAAGAACCAGAATTTCGCCCTCAACACTGGAAGTGGTAAGAGAAGAGGAGGAAGGAAGGAAGGAAGGAAGGAAGGAAGGAAGGAAGGAAGGAAGGAAGGAAGGAAGGAAGGAGAGGAGGAGGAGGAATAGGAGGAATAGGAGGAATAGGAAGAGGAGGAGGAGGAGAAGGAGAAGGAGAAGGAGAAGGAGAAGGAGAAGAAGAAGAAGAAGAAGAAGAAGAAGAAGAAGAAGAAGAAGAAGAAGAAGAAGAAGAAGAAGAAGAAGAAGAAGAAGAAGAAGAAGAAGAAGCTTTGTCTGGAACTTAGTAGCTTTGGTAAGAAGTTGTAATTTTTGGTTTTGTTTGTTTCTTGTCAGCCTGCTGTGACCTACCAAGTACTGCGCCCATCTATCATGCAATGAATGGAACCACTGCAAAGCAGTGCCTCAAATTCTGTAACTCTCTTAAATTGGTTAGAAGGATATTAAAGTACCATGGTATTAAAATACCAATGTAACAGGATTACAAGTGGAACACTACTATCTTCCAGGTCCTGACACATACAATTCATCATCCAGAACAAGCAATACCATTTTCATTCCATGATCAGGCATGAATCCTGACTGAAAAGAGTCTAAACAATTCGCATTTATTAGGGCACTTTGAAGACAACTTCTCACTCCCTAAATGGGATGTTTAGAGACTGATTGATAATTATTAAGTATTGCTGAACATAGAGTAATGGAAATGATTTGAAGATAGAAATATATTTTGTTTTCACAGAGCAAATTTAGTTTAAAACATGTAGACTCTTCTCGGGTTTATGATTTGTGAGATCCTTATTATGCACCTTCTTTTCCATATAGGGATAACATGAAATGTCCCAATGGTACATTGGTTAAAGAACAGAACTGATACTGGGAGATTCTCTCAGCTCTTATCTCTCCTACAGGATCATTTGGGGGGAAAAGGAGGAAGCAACACTATCTTGTGTTCCTGCAGGAAAATCTGATTTGAATCTAATAAATCAACATATTTGCTGGGTTTATAGGATTATCTGAAACACAAACTAGCAAATCACATTTAATCTATTATGCACACTCAAACCCATGTGCTCAGTTAATATGGTGCAGTTTACTACAGGAACCAAGAAGATTACTTATTTTCAATAAATCATAATTGTTAATCATGCATAACAAACATAGCCAACATTTGGACTGGTACATTGAACTTCATGTGACTAGTTTGGTTTCTAACTTAAAATATTAAATGAACACATAGCTTGTAAAGCAGATTTTATGATTTTAATCAGTTGTAATTTATTAACTACATTGTAGATAAATAAGCCATAAATTGGCATACATGAATGAATGGCAGAAAATGCCCATTAAAATGTAAGGCAAAACACTAAAAGCAATCATAATTTACTGTAAAAGGCATTTGGAAGAATTTAGACAACTTTAATATGCCATAAATCATGTCTTACTAACCACACTGGCTTGAATTCAATACATTAACTTAAACCACAGTGTAGTGTAAATCAAGGGTCTTCAAACTTGGGCAGTTTAAGACTTGTGGACTTCAACTCCCAGAATTCCTGAGCTAACACGACTGGAGGAAGAATTCTGGGAGTCGAAGTCCACAAGTCTTAAAGCTGTCGTTTTAAGACCCCTGGTGTAAATATATAAAACTAAGTGCATTTCCAAGTGACCATTAGAATACAATTAAGGTTCGGCTATATCCCATTTGTTTATTTCTCATTTACTTAATTTCTGGTTGATATCAAAAAGCTAAGCAGGACCACTTAATACTTAGATCAGGGTTTTTTTTTAACGTCAACTGGGAAGTAAAGAAAAATAAATAAATAAAATCCGGAAGAAAGCAATACCGGCTGTTGTAAAGAAGACAGCAGGAGCAGAGCGTAACTCGAAAGAAAGTTTTCATCCTTTATCTCAAAAGGGCGCTGAACCGTGCCTGGGTTATCGTCATAGTAATAAATCTGGCTTGCTGACAGGTGAGTAAGTATGAGATAATTTCCGAATCGCAGCGGGCTAACTATTTAACGTCCCCAGCCTTGGCTAGATGTCGGCTTCCGGCTGAATCGGAATTGCATGCTCTGGACCTCTTGTGGCGCTTAGGAAGTTTTTGACCGCGGCGACTGAACTTTACCGACTCTGTGAGGGTGGACCTCCAGAAGACAGGCAGGCAGGGAGGCTGCCCCTCCGCTCCTTTCCAAGCCGCTTTACAGCTGGAAACCCGCGGCTAT